AGATAATCCACTATAACACATTGTTGGAATAAGTAAAAGAAAACGAATATCGAAAAGTATTGATAAACTCGATAGAATCGACTGTTTTTCTAGAAAATATAAAATAAAATATTATTCATAGAATATAAAATAATCAATGCTTTACTTCCATCTTTTGGTATTTCTACAGGTCGCAGAAAAATTAAACTGAATGTTCCTAATCCACAAATACTTGTCAGTATTGTAAAAATAATCCATTGGTCAAGCTTTATATGAAATAAAAATGAGACAAGCAAATTTCCAATGATTTGATTTAATTGAAATATACCGAAAAATGTACCATTCATTAAACCCCTTGTGGATGATGATACTAGATTATTTACTTGTTCATGTTTATTTGTTGAGATGGTAACATAGACACCATGAGCTGTCCATAATAAAGCTGCACCAACACCAACTAAGAATCCAGATATGTATAATGTCCATCTATTATATTTTATATTAGAGGCAATAAATGGCACGTATGCCACACTCGAAAAAATTAATGTTAATCTTACACCTAATGATCGAGTTATATATGATGATAGAACTAAATTAGTTAAACAAAATACCAGATATATAATGCCTAATGCAAATGCACCATCTTTAGCATGATCTGATGATGTTTGAAATATTTGTGTAACATTATAAGACATAAAAATAAGAAAAAACGACAAACTTAAATGAATTACATTGTAAAAAATTCGATCGATCCATTTATTCGTCAATGAATAATATAATATGATAGAACGCGTTTCAACATATTAACCTTAGTCGACTGCTTTGTTTTTGTTTTTCGTTGCTTATTTAAAACAAAGAAATCGATTGTTTTTCTCCGATTACATATCTCGTGCAAGTAAAGGTGAAGTATTAACATGCAGTTTAACATTACATACACAAACATAACTGACAAAAAAAAATCAATCGATTATAGATAGAAATAAGTTTATAAAAGAAAATATTTTTGATTATGTTTTATTTTTAATATAGAAAAAATTATATGCTTAGATAAGAAAATTCGATGAAATAGATTTTGATTATTTACATGCGTATCAAGTGGAATTGTTTAGATTAAGATTTGACAAAAATGATTATGATGAAATGCAACTTATATATATTAATAAATAACTTGAAAAAAAAAATATTGTTTTAATAACTGTTCATTTGATTCTTTTCTCTTTATCAAAATAAGTGCGGCAAATATAATCGTTTTTAAAAAGTCAATGATAGTTTTTGTTTTTGAAGCTCCTGTTTGACTCGATCATTTATTTGAAATAATCAACAGAAATTATAATAAGAATATAATTTAGATGGTAATAATCATAGGTTAATCTTTCACCAATATTGTTCACTGTGAATGTCCCCTAAAGAACACTCTAGCCTCTATTAAAAATGACGATTAACCTTAGTTAACGAGCAGATTATAGCAACAACAATTCAAAAAACCGAATGGAGTACAAAATGTGTACTTTAAGGGCACAACGTTTTTAGGATCCAAAATGGTAAATGGAGTGTAATACCCCTTTTTTGGCGTGTATTTGACAGCCATGCACGGAGCTAAGTCACACATCCATCATTTATCGCAACGACGGTGCCATCATAGCTTACAAGCGTTTATCGACAAAAATCATTAATTACCAAATAGTCGAGACCTGATTTCTTTAGATTATGCAAATAAGGTTGAGTTTGTGAAACACACTGACTAGAACACATTGATATCAATAGTAAAATTAGATCGAGAGTTAAAACACGCAAGTAAAAAGATTCGTCCAACGATTATCTTTGAAAGTTATATGGTTTTGATGAATCAATTGTATCGTCTCTATAAAATACAAAGCGTTTCTTTTGGTCGACAACAGTATGCATTTTTGTAGACAATTGAGTGACGAATCTTTGTGAAAAGAAAGTACTCCGATATATTTAAATGCAATTCAGATAAATTCAAAATCCTCAGAAGTCCATTATCTATGACCCATCTGATGATAATAATAATAGCATAAAAGACAGTCGAGTTCCGAGTCTTTCGATGAATTTGACGTCAACCATCAAAATGGATAGTATCAAATTTTTGATTAGAGAAATATTCATTCTCCGAAATTCGTTGTTTTGTATTACTCAAAAAAAGTAGAAAATCCTGCGGCAAAAAATTGGAGGATAAATTTTCTTTTCTCTCTAATCATTCCTGAAATCTTGCTCACAAAAATAAGATAGTCTATTATCTTCAAGATGTAGCGCAGAACGTGTTAATCGTTGAACGGTTGATTATTTCATAGGCAGTCATTAAATTCCTGCAATAGTATAATTCCACTATTTATTCAAATCATTATTTTCACTCAAAATGGATTATCTTCGTTATCTCCTTTAAAATTTAGAATATTTAAAAAACTTCCAATAAATTTATCATATGTCTTCAGACTTAAACATTCCACTTTCACTTTATTAGAGTGTATTATTCATCTCCAAATATACCATTCTCTAATATAAAATAATACATAACTGACATTACGTCTCTTCGATTTGAGATTAAATTATTTACAATCTCATTACAGTTTGTCCAGTCTTCATGATAGAGTGCTCCGATTTGCTTTTATTCGTCCTATAATATTTCAATTTTATGTACAGAAATACATCTGAAGCGGAAGTAAGTATGCTAATAGAGTTGTTGATTGGTATTCTATGTACAATCCATTCGTGTTTTTTATGGACAGCTTTGTAATTATGCTTGTATCATCGAGTTTTCTTTATATCCGAAAAATAGGAAAAACGTTATAACACAAAACTAAAATCTATTTCAAAATTTCGCATAAAACGATAATCAAGAAGAATAATGATTGAATACTAATCTTGTTTACATCAATATTGCTAAATATATGTATGCGTTTTCCGCTTGTAAATCATAATTTTTCTTGTGGCATTATTTCTGCTGCATTCGATAATGTTAACAAAGTTAACTGTACTTCAGTGTCGGCTTCAGGTTTTTTCTTAGTTTTCTTTTGCATTGACATTCTTGTTTTGCCTGTATCTAATGATATAATACCATAATGTTCATAAATAAGTGTAATAACAGTTAATGATAAAAGAATAATTAGACATAAGACTTGTATAGAAAATGAAACATAAACTTGTTCAACAAAAGCTATCGCTATAGAGCCTGCTTGAAATATTTTTAAACATGAAAAAGCATCTGCTAGCCGTGATTCTTCATAGAAAGTGCCTATAATAGAATATAATAGTGTCCAAAATATAGCATCACCTATACTTAAACCAATAACCAATATAAGAAATATTTCAGTACGGCTTTGATCCAAAGGTGGTTTCCATACTAGTAATAAAAGTACAAAAATAGGCATATGAGCAAGTGCACCAATACCAAAAACAAGAAGACGACGACCAATTAAATCACTTAATTTTCCAAAAAAGAGAAAACTAAAAGCATTAACACCACCAAACACAGTAAATATTAGATATTTCCGACTTTTATCAATAATCAATGGAGCTACAGTAGCAAAGATGAATCCTCCAGATAATCCACTATAACACATTGTTGGAATAAGTAAAAGAAAACGAATATCGAAAAGTATTGATAAACTCGATAGAATCGACTGTTTTTCTAGAAAATATAAAATAAAATATTATTCATAGAATATAAAATAATCAATGCTTTACTTCCATCTTTTGGTATTTCTACAGGTCGCAGAAAAATTAAACTGAATGTTCCTAATCCACAAATACTTGTCAGTATTGTAAAAATAATCCATTGGTCAAGCTTTATATGAAATAAAAATGAGACAAGCAAATTTCCAATGATTTGATTTAATTGAAATATACCGAAAAATGTACCATTCATTAAACCCCTTGTGGATGATGATACTAGATTATTTACTTGTTCATGTTTATTTGTTGAGATGGTAACATAGACACCATGAGCTGTCCATAA